CTCCCTCCCTCCCTCCCACCCTCCCTCCCTTCCTCCCTTTCCCTCCCTCCTTCCCGAAACAATGATCTTACAATACAGCACTGCCTGGCCTGGAACGTGCAATGTAAACCAGGATAGCCTGGAGCTCATCTAGGTCCTCCTGTCTCTGCTGGTGACATGCTGGGCCTAAGGGCACACCCCATGTCCAGGTTTCTGTCAATTCTTATGAATTCTTCTGGGACCAGCATGGTGGTTTATGATAGTAATATCAGCACTTGGGAGGTTGAGGCTGGAGAATGGCCATAAACTTGAAGCTAACCTGCTCTCTACAGTAAGTTATAGGCCATTTGGGACTACAGAGTGAGGCAGTATCTCAACACAAAACAAATGGTCCCCAGGGTGTTACTGTGTAGTTGAGGCTGGCCTTGAGTTTGATATAGCACAATGAAGAAACTGGCTGAAGACTCAGGCACCCATCTGCTTCTCTTGAGTGATTCCACCAGAATCCTCCGAACACTGCTACAACCAAGGAGGTAGCCGGACCAGCTGGCTCCAGGCCTCCCAGCTGCCAGGCCTTTCTTATACTAAGTCTAGACCTAGTCTTTGCACTCAGAACTGGGACTTCTGCTACAGCACCTCCTCATGTTTTGTTTGTTTTGAGACAGGGTCTCCTATGTAACCCTAGAAGTATGGGAACTTGTTATGTAGACCAGGCTGGCTAGAACTTACAGATGTGTCTGCCTCTGCCTCCTGAGTGCTGGGATTAAAGATGTGCACCACAATGCCATGTCCAAGTGAGTCTTGCTCTTGGAGGGAGAGGCAGGAGGTTGAGGAGTTCAAGGCCATCCTTGACAACACAGTCAAACCTGGTCCAACACGAGGGCTCAGCAGGTAAACATGCTTGCTGTCAAGCCTCATTACCTGAGTTTGATCCCTGGGACTTGACTGATAAGTAGAGAACTGACCGACACCCAGAAACTCTAGGCTTCCACATGTCCCATTTCCATAATACTACATAAGACATTTTAAGAGTGCTTGGGGAAATGCAACCTTCTGGGCCTCATGCACTCCCACCACAGCCCAGAGCTTCTTACCTTGCTGGTGAGACTGGACCTCTCTCATCTCCAGGTCATGGGTCAGCTCTAGGGAAGAGAGAATAGAGGAGTTTGTGTGTGCACAAGTAGGTGTACATTTCAAGAAATCACAACTCCCTTAAGGGAAGGACAGATCCACAGGCACTGTCTACACCACCACCTATAGCTACCTTACATCCCAGCAAGAAAGAGCCATACTAAAGGCAGAGCCTAGGCCTGGGGTTTTTAGGCCCTGAGATCTTCCCGGCAAAGGTTTTGTGCCTAGGATTGGGAACAGAGACCACCTCTGTGGGCAGAAGAGCCTGTTTTGTTTTGAGGATGAGGGAATATTTGCCTTTTTCTAAGGGGTAATATGCCACCAGGTTTTGTGGAGGACTCTTGTAAACACAGGGTCTTGATCCATGCAAGCTTAGTTAATCGACGAATGCTGCAGTGCCAAGAGATGCTCGGGAGGCAGCGGAAATAGGCAGAAGCTATTTACTGAACACATGTGGCACTAGTTTCATGGCCAGTATTGTACCTGTATTACTGTCTGAAGATCTCTGTAGTTTCCCAAACCCCATTTTGACCACCATGCAAGAAGGGCTTAAGGGGGACAGTGCCACCTAGTGGTGGAAGACGTACAAGGCTTTGGTTTGGTGTTACAGGGGAGGGACTACTCAGGGCCATCCAAGCTAAAGAAGGTCTCTAACATTAGAACAAGTTCTTCCTGGGCACTCAGGAGGAACGTTTTTGTTGTTGTTGTTGTTTGTTTGTTTGTTTGTTTTGTTTTGTTTCATTTTGTTTTTTGTTTTTTTCAAGACAGGGTTTCTCTGTGTAGCCCTGGCTGTCCTGGAACTCACTTTGTAGACTAGGCTGGCCTCGAACTCAGAAATCCGCCTGCCTCTGCCTCCCAAGTGCTGGGATTAAAGGCATGCGCCACCACTGCCTGGCGGAACTTATTTTTATTATCCTCATTCTTTGGTGCCTCCCAGTGCCCCATCTCTCAGAGAAACTGTGTGATAGTTATTCTCAGCCCCAACTCCCAGAGCTCAGAACAATGAGGGCTCAGGGGTTTACAGCTCAGTGATAGACAGATGCTTGGCGCTCCTGCTCTGGGTTCAATTTAGACAGTATGCTGGGAAAAGGACAGCAGAGATCCAGGAGTCAGAGGATCTACTAGGAGCACTTGCATGTACCTTCATGGATAAAGTTTTGAGCCCGAAGAAAGTGGTACACCTCTGGGAATAGTGCCCGGCAGCACCTACAGTCAGGCCTGTGCCCTTGGCCTGCTCTTCTTCTCTCCTCAAAACACTCTTAGGGACCAGAGTTTGCAAGAAATGTATTCTCTGGGGAGGCCACTTGTTGCTGGGACACAAGAGAGTACCTTAGCCAGAACCTTCTCCCTGGGGCCACTGGGAGCCCTCTGATGCCTCCAACCCTAGGACTCTCGGAAACCAACTTCTCCCTTCCTCCAAGGCCTATGAAATGGCCTAAGGGACCTTGGCCTTGGCACTAACTTCTCTAGGGCAGATTTCTTTCAACCATTAACCACAGGGCTTAAGATTAGGAGACAGAACCCCAACCGGGATCCACTCACTCTTTCTTTCTTTCTTTCTTTCTTTCTTTCTTTCTTTCTTTCTTTCTTTCTTTCCTTCCTTCCTTCCTTCCTTCCTTCCTTCCTTCCTTCCTTCCTTCCTTCCTTCCTTTCCTTCCTTCTTTCTCTCATTCTTTCTTGAGATGTGTTATGGTTTGAATATGCTTCGCCCAGGGAGTGGAGGTTTGGCCATGTTGGAGTAGGTGTGTCACTGTGGGCATGGGCTTTAAGACCCTCATCCTAGCTGCCTGAAAGTCAATATTCTGCAAGCAGCCTTCAGATGAAGATGTAGAACTCTCAGCTCCTCCTGCACCATGCCTGCCTAGATGTTGCCGTGCTCCCACCTTGATAATAATAGACTGAACCTCTGAACCTGTAAGCCAGCCCCAATTAAATGTTCTTGTAAGACTTGCCTTGGTCATGGTGTCTGTTCACAGCAGTAAAACCCTAACTAAGACAAGATGGCATCTCATTACATAGCCCTAGCTGTTCTGGAACTCACTATACAGACCAGTCCAACCTTAAGCTCACAGAGATCACCCTGCCTCTGCCTTCTTTCTGAATGCTGAGATTAAGAGTGTGAGACACTACACTGGCTTCTCCCATCTTCTCCCATCTTCTGATGTGAGTCTTTCTGATGTGATGTAGATTCTATATGTATTCTATAAAAGCAGTAAATGGTAGGACCCTGGTCAGGAAGGACACTTCTCTGAGACTTAGTTTTCTTTTTTTTTTTTGAGAACAGGAACAAAACAGCATCTCTCTTATATGGGGCTGGTGCCAGGATGCAATGAGAAAAAAAATAGAGGATTTATCTTAGAGCTAGATCAGCAATTAAGGCACAGGGCACTTGTCATTGTCCAGGCTGTGCCACCAGCCCAGAACTTACTTCTACCTCCAAATCCCATGTTCTTCATCCTTTTTTGTTTTGTTTGTTTGTTTGGGACAAGGTTTCTCTGTGTAGCCCTGGCTGTCCTGGAACTTGCCTTGTAAACCAGGTTTACAGATCGCCTGCCTCTGCCTCCCAAGTGCTGGGATTAAAGGCGTGCGCCACCACCGCCTGGCTCCATGTTCTTTGTCTTCCAGACAGCCTGGCCTCCTTGGTCCTCCTCCAGTCTCCTTCCCCAATTTCCTCTGCTTTCCCTGCACCTCCCTAATAGAAGGAGGGCCTGATTCAGTCACCTCAGCCCCCAGAGTGGCAGTTCCAGACAAGACCAGAGTTATTTTTATCTCCTTAATCAATATCCAGGAGGCTTGAGCCCAGACTCACTTGACAGTCAGGGGGACTATAGGGCCCTCTGATCTCGCTTGTTATGTTGTCATGGGAACTATCCTATGTCCAGAACGGAAGGACCCAGGTTCTTAGAATTAGGGAAAATCGTGAAGAAAAGAGAGGATCTGCAGTAAGATTTTTAGTCCTTTTTCCTCTGATACTGTCATTGTGATGAAAAAGCAGCCTCCAGGGCTGTCCTGTCACTGGGGAGACAGATGGCCAGGAGTCTGCTTGGAATACCACAGCTGGGCCTGTATGTACAAAGAGGTTGAGGCTAGACTGTTCAAGTTCTGTGTTAACGTGAGAGGCCAAGGGGGTCACTCAGGTCTTCTAGGCTCTGGGCAAATGACAGGTAGAACACAATCAGAAAATGGCACAATGCTGGTTTTAATCCTGGCTGTGACACTAACATACACTGTATGATTTTTTTTTTCTGGGTCTTATCATTTTCACCATAAAAAATTGAGCCTGGGAGTGCAACCTTTTAATTTTAGCACTCAGGAGACAGAGGCAGGGAGAACTCTTGTGAGTTTGAGGCCAGCTTGGTCTACAGAGTGAGTTCCAGGACAGCAAGGACTACACAAAGAAACCCTCTCATAAACAAACAAACAAACAAACAAACAAACAGCAGGTGGAAGCAGAAAGATTAGATGTTCAAAGCCATCCTAGGCTACTTAAGGAGTTTGAGGCCAGCCTGGGCTATATGAGACCTCGTATCAACAAACACCCATAAGGCCTGCGCTTGTAGACAGATGAGCACTTGAGTCACAGTCATGCCTCTGAAAGGCCTGGGTAGTGGAGGTCCAAGATCAGAGGCCAGGCCTGGAATTTCCAGTCATTCTTTGCCTGCCTCTTCTCTGCTCACAAATGTAATCAACCAGAGAGCCCTTTTCCTCTAAAATATTTCCCATTAACTCTTCACCTCTCCCCAGGACCTCCCTATCAGCTCTGCCACACATACCAGACTCCCTCTGGTACAATTCATCTCTGCTGCTGCTGAAGAAACATCCAGCTGCTCCAAACCATTCACTGATTCTCTACTGACCAAGGGGACAAGCCAAACTCACACTGTACTTGTCAGAGTCTCCACGATCTGTCTCTAGCTGGGCTTCTCTGGCTCTAGCTGGGCTTCTCATAGGCTTCTAAGCACCGCTTTATGCTACCTCCTGGCTTTGCTATGCTGGCCCATATCTGGAACGGTTTCTTCACTTCTTTCCCCATCACCTGTCAGGATGTCTGCAAGCTGCTCAGCCTCCAAGGAGATGACATGCTCCCTCCTAGCATGGAGGTGCTCAGTCTCCGTCATCCTGCTCAAGCTCGCTCAGTCTCCATCACCCTGCTCAAGCTCGCTCAGTCTCCATCACCCTGCTCAAACTGGATTATCATCTTGGACTCTCAACAGCCCTCTTATTTTCTAATGTATGCTTAGTTTATTATTTTATTTTATTTTTGATTTTTTTTTTGAGAAAGGGTTTCTCTGTGTAATAGTCCTGATTGTCCTGGAACTCCCTTTGTAGACCAGGTTGGTCTAGAACTCACAGAGATCTGCCTGCCTCTGCCTCTCGAATGTTGGGATTAAAGGTATGCCCCATCATGTCCAGCTATATGTATGCTTATTTTATGTTTGTGATGCTGGACATGGAATTCGGGCCCCTGTGTATATGCTAGGCAAGTGCTCCAACACTGAGCTTCACTCTGCCCTGTCTCACTGACATCCACCGGTACACGTGTTTCTCCACCCGGGATTCCTGAAGGATGTCAGGTGCTTAACGAACTCAAAAAGGACAGGAATCCCCTAGGATTGGTTCCTGGAAGTCTGACCCACTACCTCAGCCTTAAAATTTTTAGGTGTGGTGAGCAGGAGAGGGTGACGGACAGGGTCTACATAGCCCAGGCTGGCCTAGAAATCAGTATATAGCAGAGATCTAATTCTACTTCCCTGGTACTAGGGTTACAGTCACGGATTGTCACATTCAGCTCGTCCCTAGAATCCACACCATCTCAAGTCTTAACTCTCATCCAGAAAGAGACAAGACAGAACTGGTGTTAGGCTCACAGGAACTCAAGGAGAGCATCCTATCAGCAACACCAGTGATGGTGACCCCTCCTTACTCCAGCCACTTGGGGCCAGTGTTCAGCTCACCTGAGCAGCGTTTCTGCAGCCTCAGGATCTCCAGGTGCAGGTCTCGGAGCAGGGCCATCTGCTCCTTTTTCAGGAAGCTGATGTGGCGTTGCACGCTCTGGATCTGATGCTCCAGGGACACGGTATCCATGGCAACCCAGGCCTGGGCCCCACCTGGGTGGAAGACAATGTGACAGCACATCTTCAGAGGCTATCTGCCTTGTCCCACCTTCAGATCTTGTGTCCTTCACATTAGGCCCTCTGGTCTCCAGGGAGAGGATTCTGCCACTCTCAGTTCTCTGTACGAGCTTTCTCAGACACTGAGTAGGCATGCCCTCAGGGAGGTTGTTATTCTCATTTAACAGACGAAGAAGCAGAGGTGCAAGGAGGTGGCAGTGCTGGCTACATTTTCCTGCCTCTTCTGCTTCTCAGACAAACAAATGGATCAGAAGTTGGCAAAGACAGGTAGATGACTTTGGGTCTAGCCTTCACTAACTAGATATGTCACACGGGGCCAGCCTTCTCCCTCTCTGAGGTCTCAGCTTTCCATAGGGAAAATAAGGGAGCTGACCCAGAAATCTGTTCAGTTATGACGCCCACATGCATCTCAGCCCTGAAGCTCCTTCAATTCACAGGGAGAGAAGTTCTTGATAGGTAGTCCAGGCCAGCCTTGAATTCTCCACAACCCTGTCATCTCTGCCTTTGGAGTGTTTTGGTTACAGGTATGCATTGCTGTGCCTGGCTAGAGAGGGGAGGGGGAGCTGAAGGGAGAACTGCTTACTGACACGCTTCTTGGGCTGAAAGCAGGAGGTGAAGTCAGTCTATAGAGAGGATGGGGGCTAAGATCAGAAGACCCAAACTATGGAACCCCGAGGAAACATGAGGACAGAGAAGCATGCACCTGAATCCTACTCATGGCCAGGCTTGTAGGCCTTGCCTCCCCGCTCCCCCTGCCTTATCTTCCCAGTGACTGTTCCATGGTGGCTAGCATCCTGGAAAAGCAAAGGTGGAGTCAAGAGCCCTGGGGCCCAAGACCAAGAGCTCATTTCTTCTCTGCCAGCCACTCCCTAAGCTGTTTATTGATTTGGGGGAATCGAGCTTATATTATGAAACCCAGGCTGGCTCGAATGATCCTCTTGCCTCAGCTTTCCGAGCAGCTGAGACTACAAGTGTGCGCTCCCCCAAAGTTTTATTTATTTATTTATTTATTTATTTATTTATTTATTTATTTTTGCTGAGCTGCAGATTTCACAGAACATCATGCACCTGCTAGACAAGCATTATACTATGAAATTACATCACAAGTCTCGCCTCCTAAAGGAAGAGACAGGGTCTCACTATGTAGCTTTGGCTGTCTCAACTCACTATGAAAACCAAGTAGGCCTCGAACTCATAGAGATCCTTCTGTCTCTGCCTCCCAAGTGCTGGGATTAAAGCATGAATCACTATGCTGGGCTTTCCTAAACTTCTGAAGGGGCGGACTTCACCCACTCTGGGGATTTCCATGGATGGTTAGAGAGGGGGCCAGTAAGACAGACATCTCTTCTGTGTGGAACTTTCATTTGTAAGGTCACTCCAAGCAGGTCCTCCTGAGAACTTCAATTCCACAGGCTCTTGTCTAGGCCCTCTTCCCTGGCACCTTTGGCCCCACTAACCCAACACACCAGTCTTTGTTTCAGCACAGGGTGGCCCTTTGGCCTATGAAAAGCACTCAATGCTTACTAACCAAGTGTATGTTCAAAAAATGACACGTGATCCCGCTTTTGCCAGTCACTTTCCCAGCCAGCCCTATAGACAGTTCCAAACTTACTGACACTGAAGTGATCAGGCAGTCCCCTGAGGTCTGAGGCAGGCACACCTAGCTCTCCAGCCAAGTCTTCCTTTGTTTGCTTGTTTTTGAGACAGAGACCCAGGGACTTGGTTTTGATTTCTGAGATGGGGTCTTGCTACGTTACACTGAGAGGTCTCAACTTTGTAAGCTCATGTGATCCTAGAGCCTCGGTCTCCCATGTAGCTGGGAGTACAGATGTCCAGTTTCTTCAATTCAAAGAAAATACCCATGTTTACACAGGAAGCACAGGCCTGGGTTTGAATCCTGGCTCTTTCAGTTACCTTCTGTGTTGGCTTTGAGCATGAAAGCTAACTTCCAGGAGATAAGATTTTCCTGATGTCAAATGGAGGTAAAAAGGACTGGAGAGATGGCTCAGTGGTTAAAGCACCTGCTGGTCCCCAGGGCATCCCCCTGGACTCCTTCATTTCCCAGCACCCACATGGCAGCTCACGACTGTTTCTAACTCTGGTTTCAGGAGACACGATTCTTATGGCCTCCAATAGTACACAGACATATATGCAGGCAAAACAAACTCACACACACACACACACACACACACACACACACACACAAAATAAAATTAAAAATGCTTTAGTGAGTAATTATACTAGCAGTCCTAGAATACCTGTGAGAATTAAATGAGACAAGAAATGTGAAGTGCTAGCTAGGTATGGTGGTACATGACCATTGGAATCCTAGATTCACAGAGGCAGAGGTAGGAGGGTCAGAAGCTCAAGGTCTTCCTGGGCTACACAATGAGCTCATGGCTAGTCTGGACTGTACTAGACAATACCTCAGAAACCAACCAACCAACCAACCAACCAAAAAAGATAAAGTGCTTAGTATAAAAATAACTCAGTATTATATAATTTTTTTCTTTTTCTGTTCATCTCTGTGTGAGTAGGCTGTCTTAATTTGGTCGACTATTTTATCCATCCATCCATCGATCCATCCATCCATCCATCCGTCTGTCTGTCTACAGTTGCTGAGCATTTGTCTGGGGAGAGGACATAGTGATAGACATATCACTGCAGCTGGGTGGTGGTGGCACACATCTTTGTCCCAGCACTCAGAGGCAGAGGCAGTTGAATCTTGAGTTTGAGGCCAGCCTGGTCTACAGAATGAGTTCCAGGACAGCTATGGCAGGAGAATCCTCAACAAGACAAAATGGTAAGAAATAAAGCGAAAGGGTTTGTTTTTTTGTTTTTTGTTTTTCTGAGACAGGATTTCTCTATGTAGTCCTGGCTGTCCTGGAGCTCATTCTGTAGACCAGGCTGGCCTCAAACTCAGAAATCCGCCTGCCTCTGCCTCCCAAGTGCTGGGATTAAAGGCGTGCGCCACCACTGCCCGGCCAGGCTTTGATTTTTTAAATTAAGTGTCTTTATTTTTTATAATTTCATAGTTGAGTACTGTACTACATCATTTCTGCCCCAATTCAAACAAACAAAAATTTATCGAGACCATGTAGTGTTGCTCTTATGTGTATGTGTTTAGATCTGATCACTTGGGATTGGATAATTTATCATGGAGTTCATCACAAGAGAAGATTGATTCTCCCTCTCTTGGCAGCCACTGATTGCCTACAGTTCTTCATCTAGGGGTTAAAAAAAAAATATCACTCTGGCTGCCAGGGGTAGCACATGCCTATAACCACAACATTTAGGAGTCTGAGGTAGGAACATTTTGAGTCGATTTTGAGCCTGGGGCACACAATAAACTATCCTGAATCCATCACGTGGCATTATCTCCCCCAAGTTACCAGCTTCCCTCTGGTACCAAAGCAGTGCCTGAAGACCTGGCTTCTTGCTTCCTCCCTGCCCATTCCTTTTCACTCAGGAGCCAAAGCTCCTTCAGCAGACCTAAGGCTGTCATATCTTCCTGTACTCAGACCCAAGGCTGTCATATCTTCCTGTACTCAGACCTAAGGCTGTCATATCTTCCTGTCCACAGACCTAAGGCTGTCATATCTTCCTGTCCACAGACCCAAGGCTGTCATATCTTCCTGTCCACAGACCTAAGGCTGTCATATCTTCCTGTACTCAGACCCAAGGCTGTCATATCTTCCTGTACTCAGACCCAAGGCTGTCATATCTTCCTGTACTCAACTCAAACCTCCCGATGCTTCCCACTACACATCAACCCCAAAGTTGTTTACTTATGTGCATCCACACATGTCTTTGTGCATTCAGGAGTACAGATGACCTCTGAGTCCAGAAGAGGCTGTCGGCTGCTCTAAAGCTAAAGCTGTGGCAGTTATGAGCTATCAGATACAGGTGCTGGGAACTAAACCTGGTATACACCTTTTACCACTGAGCCATCTCTTTGGCATCCTTTGTGTGTGTATGTGTTGTTTTGTTTTCAAGACAGGGTTTCTCTGTGTAGCCCTGGCTGTCCTGGAACTTGCTCTGTAGACCAGGATGGCTTCAAACTCAGAGATCCACTTGCTTCCAGCTCTGAGTGCTGGGATTAAAGGCGTGCACCACTACCAACCAACTCTTTCAAAAATTTACATTCATTTACTGATTCTACATGCTACAACATGGATGTGGAGGTCAGAGGACAAGCTGCAGGAGGCTGAGTCTCTGTTTACCATGAGGATCCCAGGGACTGATCTCAGGCTCTCAGAGTTTGAAGCAGTGCCTGTAGCCGCTGAGCCCTCTTGAAGGCCTGTCCTTTTCTGTTTTTGAGCTTGAGTCCTGCTTTGTAGCCAAGAAGGACCTCAAGCTTGTGACCTCCTACTTCTACCCATACAGTGCTGGGACTGTAGGTGTGCACCACCAGAGTGGGGCAGAAACCCAAGTCCTAATCAAACCCTGCACTATCTGCCTCTGGTCAATTGCTCTTGTCTCTTGGTCTCCCAATGCTGGCCTCCTTGCTGGCCTAAGCCTACTCACCTGTGGTTCTTTGTATTAACTGTCTCCTCAGGGAAGGATGCCTTTCACCAGTCTTACCTCATGACCCATTCCCTCCCTTCTCCAATGACTCAAAATAAAGAGACTTCTGTCATTTCCCACTCCCGTCCCTTGCACTATTTCCCGAACTCCCTGACATGAGCATACGGAGTGTTTGTTTACTATCTGTTTCCCTTGCTAGACAGTTAGCAACAGAAGATGAAGGAGTCTTGTTTTGTTTTCCCCAGTTCCCCAGTGCCTAGCACAGTATGCAGCAAATAGGAATCACTAGGTAAATATCTGCAGAATGCACAAGTGTGTGCATTTGGGGGAGTTCATAGGCTGACGGCAGTGCAGGCTCACTACAACAAGACAGACACAATTAAGTTTGACATCCCCAAGGGCCCTCAGGGAAGAAATAGATGTCAGGTAGACTACTTCATACTCTGGGTCCTAGTGCAGGAGAACCAGATGAGCTGTATGTAGCCTCTGAAACTGTATGTCTGTACTGTCAAGAATGGGCTTGTGTATACCTCAAGGAGTGCACACGCACACATGGCTAAGAACCCGTGAGTCTAGGGCCTCACACATGCTCTATCATGGAGCAGCATCCCAAGTTTTTTAACTTCTCACATCTGTGAGGATGCTGTGTGCAGACCGCATGAAGGTGTGTGGGCTTACCCTAGGAGGAAGAGAGAAAATGTCTGTTCCCACTCACTACCACACAGACGACTGTGAAGGGTGAAAGTTCTTCCCACATAGTCCTGGAGCCTGGAAGCTGGCCAAAGGAGGTTGAGCCAGCCAGCTGTCCTTTCCTGGATGGGCTCGACCATTCACTTCCAACTAGGCAGGCTGCTCTTTCTTCTTAGGGCAGAAATTTGGGTCACAAACAATCTTGGCAAGTCTTCATTCTTAGGCATTACTGTGTGGAATTGTTTGGGGAGGGGAGCAAGTGGAGTGGGGAGAGGGAACTAGGAACAGCCGGAACTCTGTAGCTGAGGAGCCGCAAGTCCATCAGAAGGGAGGCAGGATAACAGCAGGTTTTCACGACATACGTGCAGTCCTAGAACCACTGGGCACCAGAAGCTTTTGTCCTAGATGTAGTCTAGGCAGGCAGCAGCAGCTGAAGGGTTGGTGCTGTCAGCTCTGTTTTCTCCCTGAACCCAGCTGAGCCTCACATCCTCTGCCTCTTTCTACTGTCCTGGCCATTTTGAGGTCTGCCTTGCTTCTACATTTCCACTCCTGGTGTTCCTAGTTCTTTCCCAAGTTAATTTTATAGCTTGACAAAACAACAATAACAACTCACCAAGGAGCTGGAAAGTGTATAAAGGTGCTTGCTACCCACCTTGATGGCATGAACTTAAGACCTGGAATTAGCACGGTGGAAGGAGAGAACCCACTCCCATGAGCTGCCCTTTGACCTTCCCGGGTGTGTCACCTCATGTCATGTACTCACACCCACTCACCCCTGCACACAGGGTAAATACAACAAAATGTAACTTTGAAAAAGTCACTGAGGCAGGTGACTGCACACAACTTTAATCCCAGCACTCAGGAGGCAGAGGCAGGTGGATCTGAGTTCAAGGTCAGCCTAGTCTAACAGATCCAGTTCCAGGACAGCCTGGGCAACAGAAAAAAAACACATCTCAAACCAAACCAACCCAACCAACCAACCAATCAAACAACAACAAAACCAAAAACACCCCCCCCCAAAAAAAAACACCAAAAACCAAGCAAACCAAAAGACAAAAAATCATCACGAATAAAAAAGATCTGTGACACAAGGTGCAAACTGTATAGTTAATTTCAAACACTGTTGACACATATCTCTTGAGTCTGAAAGGTACAGATATCTCTTCCCTTTGGGAAAGCTGGCAGAAAAGGCATCAACCATCAGCAAAGCAGCTGGCATAGGAACCTTCTGGCTCTGGCACAGTTCTGACTTAATTTTTAAAATTATTTTTATTTACTTATGTATGTGTCAAGTTCATGCATGCTATAGCATACATGAGGAGATCAGAGGACAACTGAGGGACATTCATGTTATCTCCTACATGAGTCCTAGAGACGGACTTCAGATTATCAGGCTGGGCAGTGAGTGCCCTTATCTGCTAAGCCATCCTACCGGCCCCAACAATTCTGTCTCCCTGAGGCCCTGCCTCCTGATCCTGGTGTGTAACTCAGCTCCTGCTGGTCTCTCTGTCTCTTTCCCATCTGCCCATAACTGTCATGGAGCATAAGGAACTTAGTTGTCTCTCCTCCTCAGTTCTTGTAGTTATTTGGGTTGGAGTTACCATAGGAAGTACAGAATCTTACCACTCTAGACTTGAGTCATCTTAGCCAATGGTTTGCAACTTTTGCTCTACAGAGCTCTAGAATTCGGCATTGGGGAGGGGTTCAGATGCCAGAGGGTAGGGGTGGTGGCTCTGTTCTCTTTCTCTTTTTTTTTCTTTCCTTGAGACAGGGTTTCTCTATGTAGACCAGGCTGACCTCTAATTCACAGAGATTTGCTTCTCTCTGTTTCCCAAGCACTGCCATTGAAAATATGAGTGTATGTGACACACACACACCAGTGACTTTGGCTGGCTTTACTTTTAATGATCTTTTATTTTGAAAAAAGAATTTATTGCACATGTGTGCATAGGTACACTGTGTGCGTGTGCGTGTGTGTGTGTGTATGTGTATGCAGGTCCCCTTATGCCAATGTGAACATGTAGAGATCAAAGGACAATATTTTTTTTGGGGGGGGTTAGTTCTCTCATGCCATTTTGAGATCTAGTATTAAACTCAGACTGTCTTCTGAACTTATATGCTGAGCTATCTCTCCAGCCCCCTTTAGTGTTCTTTACTATGATAAGCTTTTAAATAAGAAAAGATGCCTGCTAAATAAAAAGTCTGAAACTATTTTTATTAACTAATTATGTATTGCTGTTGTTGTTAAAATGTTCACACTCTGTAGTCCAGGATAGACAGGAACATGCTATGTAACCTAGGCTGACCTCTAACTCATGGCAATCTTCCTGTCTCAGCATCCTTAAGGCTAAGACTGCAGGCATACACCACCATACTCAAGTGAATTCGCAATTTCCCTGCGATGCTTACACTTCTCCTTACCTGTCTCCACCTTTCAACCTGTTCTATGTTCCCCAGTTATTTTCTGTCCCATCCTTCCTTCAAGCCAGTGTAGTGTCTGGGAAAGGATCAGTCTGGCCCCTGGGGGCCCTCTCGGTTCACATGGAGTTTCCATGTGCCTGGTCTTACGCCTTGACTGATGTCCCAGTTTCAATTTCACTCTTCCTGCTCCTTTTCCTCTTTGGGAAAACATCTGTCGGGTCAATGGATATCTCTGTACCATTCTTAACATTCTTTAAGAATGCATGGCTCCTTGTTTCTAGGTAAATGTTAATTTTTTTGGTTGTTTTCTAAAGCCAAAGCAGATCTACAAGCTGGGAGAGGCAGAGTGATGGATGAGTAAATAAAATAATCTATATGGATGAATAAATAAAATAATCTATATGGGGTGTTGTTGTTGTTGTTTTTGTTTTCCGAGACAGGGTTTCTCTGTATAGCCCTGGCTGTCCTGGAACTCACTCTGTAGACCAGGCTGGCCTCGAACTCAGAAATCCGCCTGTCTCTGCCTCCCAAGTGCTGGGATTAAAGGCGTGTGCCACCACCGCCCGGCTATTTTTCTTACTCATCATTCCCCTTCACTGTCGACTCAGAGGTCCATGGCAAGAGGCGAGCAGGTCTCAGAAGCCTTTCTAGGTCCAGGCAGGAAGACAGGCACCATACCAGCACACACTACCTCTCAGTACTGTGCCCAGCTCTGTACACACTAACTCATCTGAACCCTACACCGGTGGTCCTATTAGTACTCCAGAGATGGAGAAACAGGACCTCAGAGAGGTAAAGCCCTTTGCCTGACATGCATAACTGTGCTGACACCTAGGAGACACTTTTGAGGTGCTCACTCTGTGACATAAAGCTTCTCACAAGGCAACCAACCACACTTTACAGCTGCGGCCTACCCTCCCCCCCCCCTTTTTTGGATTCTACCTCTTGTTCTCCAGACAAACTCTCCCTGTACCCCTGGTCATCCCCTAGCTTTCTACACTCCATCTAGTTTCTGTCTCCTGAAATCTGACCTCTCCTTGCATTTCAGAGCCTTCTTGCCGGCAGTTTGGACTCTGGGAATCCCTTGCAAGAAACAAACCACACAGCCAATAGTAAAGCCGAGAGAATGAATTGACTCTTACTGGGAATCACCAGGGCAAGTAAGTACATGTATTAAAAAATAATTACTTTGCCACCCCCTTTAAGTCCTTGGCTCTCCTGAGGACGAGTCTGGAACCAAGATCTGGCCTTTGACAAATGTCTGGGACTCTGTCTGCAAGGTGGGGGCTGGTGGCAGAGACAGTCTCTAAGGACCTGTGATCCTCTGCACTACAGAGTCCCTCCTCCCAGACACCCCTCAACTCTGGCTCCCTGCTCCACTGAAGATCCCACAACCCCAATCTCAGCACTGTTGAGGATTCAGGTACGTGGGAGTGGGGTGTCGGGAAAAACTGGACCCCCCCTTTCAGTCCTGATGCTCTGTAGTTTGTGCCTTGAATTTGACACCCAGAGCCAGGGGTGCTTCGGGGTAGGGGGCAGGGTTGAGGGGTATGGATACTACAGAACATAAGAGAGGAACCAGCCAGGACACGAAGAGCAGGCATAACGGTGGAGTGGTGGTCTGAACTGCTCTGGACTCCCCGCCAACGCTGGGAAGGGCCCGGGTCTGGCGGCGGAGGACAACTTCTGCCAGCAGCCCGCGTCCTGCCAGCCTCCCGCGCGCTGCGGTGCCCGACCCCGCGCAGCCCTCCAGGCGGAGCCGGAGCTCGGGCGCTCTCTTCATCACCATGGCCACCCAGCCAGCGCCCACCTTCGACACCCACCGCCGGCCTGCTCACCTGCGGACCCGAGAGAGCCGCCGGGCCCGGGCCGGGCCTCGCTGGGTCTCGGGAAGAGCTCTTCTCCCGCGCTAGCTGCTCTCATGGATCCGCAGAGCGCGGTCCGGCTGCGGCGCCATCAGCTGCTGCGAGGCTGTAGGGCGCGGACTCCGGGGCTCCGGGGGGCTCCGGGGCGCAGAGGTTGGGGGCCTGGGGTAGGCTCCGGGCGTAAACACCCAGCAACGTGACCGGAACTGGCGAACGAGCTGGAGGGGGCGGGGGGCGGGAGAGATAAGGGGGAAGGGAGGGACCTGGGGCGCACGGGGAGGGGCCGTGGGCGGGGCGGGGGGAGGGGAGGCTGGGGCGGGGGAGGGGGAGCCCCGGGACCTCGGGGAGCCCCGGGAGCCAAGCCTTCGTACCCCGCGGGCAGCCGAATCCTCGGATCCAGCCCTGGCTGAGAGCTGAGGAGGGAGCCCGAGACACTACGGGCGACTAGGCGAGCGGGGACGCGGCGACCGATCAGCACCGCGGACAGCGCCCAGGCCCGCAGGCCAGGATCCGCTCCGCCCCTCTAAGTGAGGCAGCTCCCGCAGCCTGCCAGGGAAGGGCTAGGGTACCCATGAGCTGGGGTATTCCAGAGCTGCTGGCGAGTCTTAAAATTTGTTCCTGGTCCAGGTGGCAGCAAAACTGTTCCAGATCTCTCACTAGTTTTGTGACCTTGGGTGAATCACCTCACCTCTACTATCTTATATGATGCTACCCAGAACCGAGAGATCTTTTATAAATTCTAAAGTCCCTAAAAAGTGTAAGGCACTGCTGGTGTAGAGCTGGTCGGGGTTTCTTCTTCTTCTTCTTCTTCTTCTTCTTCTTCTTCTTCTTCTTCTTCTTCTTCTTCTTCTTC